GATACATTTCTGGCCTGCGGCCCATAGTCGCCCAGATAGTTAGTGAACGTGCTATCAGATGTAGTTGGGGAATGAAGGCTGGGCTAGCTGGACTGGCTGAATACTGATTATTTGGCCGTTTCACAATATTTCTTTATCAGTGCCGTGTGTTCGTGGGGTTAGGTGAGGTAGTGAGTGGTTTTGCAAACCGATTTTTGGAAACTTTTTCTAGAGATCAATTACCCTAACACCAAACTGATATTTTTGCACTCGACGCGCGTTTCGTTAACAAGGTTAGCATCTTCAGGAGAAGCAAATTGATCTGAATCTAAAAACAAGGGTTAGCTGTTTATATACCTAAAGTTTTTTGGTCCGATGTGTTTGTTGAATGATGATTATCCTAATTGATTTTTTGGTAATTGACTAGTGGAACCACTATCTGCAAATTAATTTGTCCGCTTTTTATTCTATTGTTGACAGCAGCTTCTTCCAAATATTCCTCCAAACTCGGTTATTGTTATGGATAACGCTTCGTATCATTCTCGGTTATTGACTAAAATACCAAACAATAACACAAAAAAAGCAAATATTGTTGATTTCATGCGAAATCATGACATGGAAATACCCGAAAAGATTCCAACGAAAAAGGTATAACTGGCGACCGTAAAACAACGTGATTTCAAAAAAGAGTATATTATTGATTCGATGTGTGAAACACGTGATCATATTCTCTTACGTTTGCCTCCATACTATTGTGTGTTCAATCCAATTGAAACGGTTTGGACCACAATGGAAGAAAGCTTGCGGAAATGTAATCAGTCATTGACTTTGAATGCTGTGGTTCTTGACAATATAAGGCGAGTGGTGAATGAAGTAGGTAATAGTGATGTGTGGAAGAACTGTGTGGCCCACGTTTTGAAAGTTCCATGAATCCGATCATTATTCAACCCGATGATGATTCCACCTCATCCGAATATAGCGAAGAAGAATTTTGATTTTTCTAGCGATTTTGTTGGCCTCTATTATTTTGTAAATATATGTTTGACGGGAATTCGATGTGATTATTTGTGGTTTCATTGTATTTTAGAGTCTTCGACTTGGAAATCAGCTACCTTAAATTTTGAAGTTTTTCATAATCACCCATGGTGAAAAAAATCAGAGATAATTTTTTCATGGGGTGATCACTTGCTATGATTGTAAGAATGAGTAACTGAAAAACTACCACTGAAAAATAATATGCCGACGCCTATGTCGAGGCGGGAATTCCTTCTCTCTGCTGTTCCAATTGGTATTGAAAATACTATACGAGTTTCTTCAATAGAAAATAAGTATCATATGGAACTCATAAAAATGCTCATGAGTGAATTATACCCAAATATTAAAGGACACAATACATGAAATATAGTAGCATTAATTACTCAGATAACCTTTCAGGAAATATTCAAAACGAGCGGACACAACGAACGTCTTTTCGCCCAACATAAAACGTGTAGATGCTTTTCGTTCATTCAGGTGGAAGTTGGTAAAGTCAATGATGATTTCTGACTGATTTCTTGGTTCAGCTCCTTGTCAGTGTATAAAGGATATAATGCAGATAGCAGTGTTCCTGGGACTCGACCTACTTCAACGTATCTCAGCTGCTTCACGAAACCTCCTCCTCAGGTGATAACTTCTATAAATATGTGTCGAATATAATTCAAAATCACCCATGAAAGTAGTTGTTTTCGAGAAATATAAGATCGTTGGAAAAACTGAGTGTTTCGAAATCAATCAGGAATATTTGTTTCATTAACTATTTGATCTCCACAAACTTCATTTGAGAAATATATCACGACATGTTTCGCTAACACAGTAGATTTTTCAACAGTGATTTGAATACTACAAGTTACTTCTTACACTAATATTTATATGCCACAGGTAACTACAATTGGGAATACCTCCATAAAATTACCTGAACCTCTACAATTCTTGTATACCTGAGGTACCTCTTCAATTATGATTACCTGAAACATATTATCTCACTTGATTTCCTGAAGCATCACACTTCAAAAGGTAAGACCTCGGTAATCCTTGGCTAGCACAAGTTTCGACTTCTGAGGATTGTCGTTCGTAGGGGTGCGATAGCTGGTTAACGGAAAAACAGATTTTAAACAGAACAGACAGACTACCTCACTTCTATATCAGTAATAATACTTCCTCGGTTTTTTGAGAAAACAAGTTCAATAATGGTGATCTATTCAAATCCAGTTGGTCATTCATTAGAATGTTTGAATTTTCAAGTTTATTAATTTCCAATGTTTCCAAGTGATTCAGTTTCAAACCTTTATTTTCTATGTGTGAAATTTTCAACTCTTCGTTAAAGATGATTTTCTTCTAAAAGATGATTTGAATATGTTGAACTTGTTTTCATATTAACATAGCTCATATGATGATCCTGGATTCGATTCCTAAATGTTCTGCCAGTTTGACCAATATATACCTCAGGACACGTTCCACACTTCAATTTATATACTAAGAGACAATTAGATACTTTTCATAGGGATATTAACAAAATTCATGAAAACAATAAATTCACTATTGAAGTAGAAGCAGACAAATCAATCAATTTCTTGGACTCAACAATTAGTAGAATGAACAACAAACATGATTTTTTAATTTATCACAAATCGTCCTGTATATTACTATACATTACGATTCTACCCATCCATATCAGCACAATGTAGCAGCTTATAATAGCATGATTTACAGATCAGTCAATGTTCCTCTCTCAAAAGATAATTTCAATGAAAAACTTAATATCATCAAGCAAATTGCAGTAAACAATGGGTTTGAAGCCAAATTAATAAACAAAATACTTTCCAAAAAAGTCTACGCAAAAGCGATTCGAGACGTTCTCCCTATTATAATAATGATGATAATATGTTTATTATGGCATACACTGATATACATTACATAGAGTGGTATCGAAAATAAACAAGATAATCACAGAAGACATAGAAATCTATAGCTTGTTCGTGATAAAAATACATTGTAATTAACTGTATAAATACTTAATCTAACATTGAAAGATAATGGATGATGAATTAATCAATACCCTTATTAACAGAGACACTAGTTTTATACAGAATACATAGTTATTTTCGTCTGCTCAACAAATGCTCAAGTTAAATTGCTGTTTGAAATATTTTGATTAAGTTAGATAATCAAAATCAAAATTATAGAGCTTCAACGTATTTTGGAGAAACAACGAAAAAATTGACTTCATTTTCGAGAAAACGAGATATTGAAATTGCATATAGAACAAGTAATAATATGTTGGAAAAGTTAGTTAAAAACAAATCAAAATTCGAAAAATCAGGAAAATATAAATTAGAGTGTGGAACGTGTCCTAAGGTATATATTGGTCAAACTGGCAGAACATTTATGAATCGAATCCAGTAACATCATATGAGCTATGTTAATAAGAAAACAAGTTCAAAATATTCAAATCATCTTTCAGAAGAAAATTATATCTTTAACGATGAGTTCGAAATTTTACACATAGAAAATAAAGGTTTGAAACTGAATCATTTCGAAACAATGGAAATTATTGAACTTGAAAATTCAAACATTTGAATTATTGACCAACCGGATTTGAATAGATCACCTTTATTGAACTTGTTTTCTCAAAAAACCGAGAAAGTATTATTACTGATATAGAAGTGAGGTAGTCTGTCTGTTCTGTTTAAAATCTGTTTTTCCGTTAACCAGCTATCGCACCCCTACGAACGACAATCCTCAGAAGTCGAAACTTGTGCTAACCAAAGATTACCGAGGTCTTACCTTTTAAAGTGTGATGCTTCAGGAAATCATAGTTGAAGAGGTATCTCAGGTATATGGATTGTAGAGGTCCAGATAATTTGATGGAGGTAGTCCCAATTGTAGTTACCTGTGGTATATAAATATTAGCGTAAGAAGCAACTTGTTGTATTCAAATCACTGTTGAATAAGCATAATACTGTGTAAGCGAAATATGTTGTGATATATTTTTCAAACAAAGTTTGTGGAGATCAAATCATGAGGTGTAGTTTATAAAGTTACTATGGATCTTCATCAAGTAACGGCCGAATCAATCAGAAAAAAAGGAATATTTGTTTTCCTACACAGGAGAAAAACGTTAAGAAATATCTTGTCTCAGAACTGCTCTGTATTCGAAAATTATAAGGACAATATGAGCAGTAATGTCGAGCATTACATTGACAGTAATGAAAGGATGAAATGATAATAGTGTCCAATAAAAATCATCATTCATAATGATTCAACAGATTCAAGATTCGCCTAAATTCGAACTGCTGACCCTTTAGAAAATCCTGTTTCATAATCAGCCGAAAATTCGCACACCTTCCCCGAAGCCGAAGTAACGAACAAAGCGAAGAATTGAGTGGTGTTACATTACTCAGAAATCCTTGATTGAGAAGGAGTCGGTTACACGAGGAAATTCTAGAGGCATTGTTCGCAATACAATGAAAACTGCTTTCTATCCTGAGGTCACAAACCACTCACGGCATTCGACATTCCACGATATATTCTCTCGAGTCTACATGAATCGCATTTTTTATTGCTCATTGTGCTGAGTCGTGAATAGATAGAGCAGAATCGAGTGAGAGAGGTCTTGACCCGTAAAATCAGGGTGGTTTCCATTATACACATTTTTGTTAATAACAAGTTTTTTAAAAAAATATAGGTTTGGTAGTACTCTCAAGAAAAAATTCGGATTTGAGTACGATAAAGACAAAATGTTGGTGTCAGATGGGTCGAGATTATACAGGGTTTTTCCAATTATTTCCAATTGACCATTAGTAAATCATTCTCAGCATCACATCGATCATTTTTTGTTTGCAATGAAACGATTTGACAATAATGATCCGAAATTCCATCCATTTCCAGAATATCAATCTGTTTCGCTTCTCAAACTGCCTGAAGTGCTTTCATGATGCAATAAAAATGAAAATATTTAGGGTTGAACAAATAAAAAAACACAATTTTTTTTTCATATTACTTTAAATGCCTCAGAAGTGAGCTTGTTTCGTTTCCAACCAATATAACAGTCCTATTAGCTACCCTCAATGGAAAAAATATACAATATAATTCATAATTGAATCTGAAATATCACTATAAAACGAAGTAACTCGATTGATTTGAAAATTCTGTGGCAAAATAAACCCCGGTTTGATGCCAGGAGGAAAGGGTTAAAAAAATTATGTATATCTAATTGAACAGTCAACTTATGATTAACCAGAGATTCATGAATGTTTTCCATCCTATGGACATTTTGAAAGTGTAACACACTTTCCTGTTACAGTATCCTTTATGTATCCTGTATTACATTTACATTTGCGTACACAAACTGCTATACAAGCTCCTTCGTATGGTTTGGGAGATCTATCCTGGCATGTTGGTATAACTTCACAGGCTGACGCACAGGTTTCGAGAAACTCATTTTCCCCACATTCCTCTGAAATGAAAAAAGTTGAGAGGAAAATTGAAAAAGAATAGCATGGGGTGCTTTGAACAAAATCAAGTATTTATTTCAAAAGGTGAAATCAATCATATTCGTGTAAAAATTTCACTAGTACAGACAATTTCCATGTTTTAGTAGAGTCTATCCATTTCCAATTGGAACGGCAATAAAAATGAGAGTACAGTCATAAACATTTCTTGCCTGTGGCCCCTAGTCGCCCAGATAGTTAGTAAACGTGCTATCAAATGTAGTTGTGGAGTAAAGGCTCGGCTAGCTGGACTGGCTAAATACCTACTAATTTTTTGTACGTTTCACAATATTTATTTATCAGTGCCGTGTGTTCGTGGTGTTAGGTGAGGTAGTGAGTGGTTTTGCAAAGCGATTTTTGAATTTATTTTCTAGAGATCAATTACCCTAACACCAAAATAATATTTTTGCACTCGACGCGCGTTTCGTTAACAAGGTTAGCATCTTCAGGAGAAGCAAATTTATACTCGTGAGTTTGCTCCACCTGCTGACGCTCGTTTTGCAATAATCCCCACTCACAAAATAAAATGCCACTTTCAACACTAGTAGGTAAAACGTGAATAACTATTTTTCCACAAAAACGTCTTTATTAGGAAAACTTGACGATTTAGTTATTGGGACATGTATATCATTTCGAAGCATTTTTCACCATCTTCCAATTTATCGAGTAATATACAGGGGGTTTCATTTGAAAAAATGAACTTTCGACTACTTTTATGCACAATGAAAATAATAGTAATTTTAGCATGCCCTGTATGATATGGAGTCGATTTCTTGGTGTTATTTAAATATTTCAAGTTTGTCCAAACTATCGTCAAAATATCAACTTTTCATGAATTGAGAGTACTGATGTACTTAATTTCAATTGAGGCTATGTTTTGGACCATATTTAGCACAATTTATTTTTTATCTCGAAAACAGATAGAGATAGGTATAGGATATTATCAACAAAAAAGTATTAAAACACTAGAGCGATTCCAAAAATGTATTAATATACGGGGTGTTCCATTCGAAAAAATATAATTGCTAGGACTTTTTGATAGAAGTGGCAACGCCGCAATGCTGAAAATATTTCAGATCGATAGAACAGGTAAGGAAAGGTGAGACGTGAAATTTTCAGAAAAATCATGCTTTGCTTTTTTCAGAAACGTCTAACCTACCTACATTGTTGAATAGGGGACCAATTGTTTGAGACACGAAATAGATTCTCTTCTTCTCAGTCTTAAGTGAGGTACAATGAAATCAATAGTATAGAGAATTTCAGGTACTTTCAGTTTTCTAAGAATGTTAAAAATAAAAATCACTTCTGAGGACTCACGCCGGCTTTCAATGGTTGCATATTAAATTCTTGTAATTGGCCATACGATATAAATAAAGGCCAGACATTGTGTTTTCTGAAAAAGAGTGTTCTTAATAATCGTTTCTGGACTTTTACTATAGTATCAGATTATAAAAAGTCTTTGGATTCCAAATGACACAACCATATTCCAGCTTACTGTCATTACTGACTTTTTAGTCGGAGAACACGGTTTTCACGGTAATAATAAGGAAGATTGAAATTTGAGCCGGTAGGTTATGTCGAATTGTACTTGCAAACGTTTTGTCTGCTACTGCGGCAGACATCTTCGGTGACACGAGCGCTGGCTGCAAGAATGAGGTAGTAGTCTCCGCAACGACCAACATTGCATCATATGACTGAAGATGTCTGCCGCAGTGGCAGATGAAACGTTGTGTACAAGTTCCATCCAATTACGGATTTGACTCTTTGTGAATCTTCAATCGCTCAAAGAACAAAGACCCACGTTCGACTTCTGCGTTGAACTATTTGATATCAAAATTGTTCAACTTGGGAAAAGCTGAATTGTATGTATAATAATGAAATAATATTACGTGCTTGCTGGTTGGATTTTCATATTAATTTCACCAGTATAATATATGTTGTTTAACGAACACTAAAGAGAGAGGACGAGCCTGCCTTCCGCTGATGTATGCGTGAGCAAAAGGGAAGACAGATAAACTGGCAGGAATATTCTGATGACACGAAAAAATCACTTCTACACACAAATCTACACAAGATGTGTAGATCATGCAAAGAAGCAACTTTGAGATAATAATCGAAAGAAACAACTACTTTCATATATTCATTGAATTAGACAAGAGAAAACTTACTTTCGACACAAATACTTCAATATAAACATTGAATTATACAAAAAACACTTTTTCCAATTCAATTTGTACATCGAACATTCGTTATAGAATTGAATCAGAGATCACTCCCAGGACTGCTACACAAAATAGTATATGAAAGAGGTAAAATTTCACATTCACGAAACAGTGTCATGCTCAGTAGCGGACATCCGATATTTCGAATAGGACTTGCCTTATTGCCTCGTCAGCACCAATTGAGTGCTTTATCTTGTAATGTTATCCAAATTGGTGCTGAAGAAGCTATAAGGAAAATGTCTCACTACGAAATATCGGATGTCGGCCATTGAGGATGACAGTGTTTCATGTGTGTGAAATTTCACCTCTTTCATATACTATATTCTTTAGCATTCCTGTGAATGATATCTGATTCGATTCCATAATGAATGTTTGGGGTACAAACTAAATGGGAAAAAGTGTTTTTAAATTTGTTTGAAGGTGGTTAACAATGTTTTATGGTGAATTTCATCAGTTCGGATTTCCATTGCTTAATTTGCTATAAAATGATTTGAAATCGCTGAAAAAATCGAAAAAGACAAAATGAATAGTTGAAAATAACAATTATATTAAGTGGAAAAATCCTGTAATGTAATTGCAATGGAATAAAATAAAAGCAACAATTGAGAATTAAGCTATTGGAAATAAATGAAAAGATTTTAAACTGAGTTATTCCACGACGTTTCGATTGTTAGTATCCACAATCATCTCAGGGTGATGACTGGACTTATTCCTCCGGAAGATGACTATTTGTGAGTCGTTCGAGTACTTCCACCTTTCCCCTCTTTCCCCTTGATTATGGGTTTCTATATGTTTCGTAGATCTACGCTAGCTTGACTGAATACTATGTGTTATTGATGATTTGTTAACTTCATGGTAATTCATGATCACTTGAATGAAACGAATAAAAACTCTTTTGTCTAATGGGATCTATACATGATAATGGGATCAAGCAATTGGTTTTATGTGCGGATATAGATGTTTCACATCAAAAAAACAAATTTTTCTGTTGAAGCCGCCTATCCGGCACTGAAGGCGATTAACGTTGCGTTTGAATTCTCTTTATGACGGTTTGGTATACAGATTGAGAAGGAAAATATAATTGGAACTAACCGGAGGAAGTATTATTTCGAAGTTCATAATCATTGAAACATTTTCCACTGCGTTCTCCGGTAATGTTTTCCTCCTGAATCATTCGTGGGAATGGGAAGTTGAATGAACATACAAAATTGATAAATATAGATTTGATAAATTCAGAAACAATTTGTGAACTAACCTGAAAATATCCCTTTGGGACCAATGGGAGGTAATGCAAAGCAGATACTCATTGAAAAAGCGAAAACCGTCAGTTTCAACATTTCTATTTTTAACACTTGATACGTCTTCAGCTTACGAGACAACTTTCGAGACACTGATCATATCAGTGGTTAGGCTGTTTCATATATTAGGTACACGACTGTAGCCCAGTCATATGAGTCAAAATTTTCAATAAATCTATCGTTAATTATATAGCAACTTGTAACTCACGGATTTCGCAAAAATGTTTGTTTGGAAACTAATTACAAAATCGAATTTGTGACATCTGAATGTTCTATACTCCTATGCGGTATCTATCAACACGTTTGGAATTATAACTTTTCAATCGCGAAAATGATCTGAAATAGACCTGTTTCATTACTTTCTGAAACTCCAATTTATGAACATACAAAGTGATTTTCCAGTAGAGTTTCAAACTAGTTCAATGAATGACAATTCAAATTTTATTCTGCTGAAAAAAAAATTATATTCGCAGAAATGTCAACAGGAGCTGAAAAATTAAAAAAATTACTAACAAGAAATGAAAATCAAAAATATAAAATTAAAAGATTCCAAACCAAGTTACTTCACGACGTTTCGATTGTTAGTATCCACAATCGTCTTCGGGTGATAACTGAAGTTATTTCTGCATATGATGTTGGCCATACAACTGCCGCAATATATTTTCAATTATTGGAACATACTTGCAGACCGGTTTTGGGCTGTTTGGCCTCTCGTCTGAGCAAGGAAGTACCTATCATCAACATAAAGTCGATGAATTCCGATTATTGAAAATCGAATTCCTTCAGAGTATCATTTCTCGAACCAGGCTGAAGCGGAAAATAAACAACAGGTTTGTCATCGCCCTATCTGCCTGTGAACGAGATAACCAACGGCATACCCGAAATTCCTCGTATAAGCAAAGAAAACTTTACACATATAGTGATATGCGAATATTATGCGGTTGGTTATCTAGTTCACAGGTAGATGGGGCGATGACAAACCTGTTGTTTTCTTATAGTTCCAATGAATTTGGCACTTCTCATTCCCCACAACGGATTCAGTATCTCCCGGAGCGTAGGGCAACACCGGTGTCTCGTCAATACCGTAAGAGTGCCGAAGATGGTAATATAGCACTCTTAGGGCCGCGTTATGTCGATGGATATAGGCCGAGACCGCATATGCTGGACATGCTGATAACAAGTGCATTAGGGTGTCGGGCGCCTCGCGGCAGGCCCTGCACCTTGGGTCAGGAACCTCTATACCCACCACGCGACTGCGGTAGATTAATGTGTTGAAGACACCATCCTGACAAGCCATGATGAACCCCTTAGTTTCCGACTTCAGCCCACTCGACCTGAGAAAAGCGAACGTCAGGCGCTTTGATAAGCCAAGGTCTCCAATTTTATTGAAGAAGACCCCATGCATTGGCTCATCCTTGTGTCTCCGCAGAAGTAAGGTGATCTCTGCGGCTTTTATCTGAGCTTTTTGCTGAACGGGTTTCAAATTGGTGACAAAGTAGTGGTCATCTCGTTCAGACTCGAAAACTATACCAAGTTCATCAGCTGCTCGAGCAGCCCCGACAGTTCCGATGACCAGATCTGTCGAAGTTTGTGCTGATACTTGCGCTGATACTTGTGGCGTTGTTCCACCCCGAGGTAGGTATACGTCTCTCCAAAATCCAGATGGTGTAGGATGCTTCCATCTACGAGCTGTACATCCTCTCCGTAGTCCCCGCATCGTCCTCTTTTGAGGATTATTATTATTATTCATCGACTTTATGTTGATGACAGGCACTTTCTAGCACTGACGAGCGGCCAAACAGCGCGAAACCGGTCTGCAAGTGTGTTCCAATAATTGAAAATCTATTGCGGCAGTTGTATCGCCAACAGAATAAGCAGGAACAACTCCAGTGAAGGATTCTGCACTGACACCTTACTGATATAATCCAACGCCCTTCGTGGTATTAGCCAGGGTAGTAGTTGTTTTCTGAAATGTATCAGTTCATCAACCTGCAATGTAGGGAGTTGAGACTGGCCTGAACGAATTGTTCATTTAGATGATTCGATTTATAGCCTTCAAGTATGCACACTGGCTCTATGTGAAAAATTTACAAAAAGTTGAAAATAGTTCACGAATGCAAAATTCCTCCAGTTGTCACAATTTTTTTTATGACTTTTCAATATGATATAAAATGTAATTTGACTGATTTGTCTGCAAATTCTCATGTTTCCTCATAGATGATGCCTAATTTGACTGTGCTATGTTTGGAGGAACATTCAATGTAACATTTTTTCATGTATTTATAATATAATTTCAAGCCCACGGCAATTCACAGGAAGAACCAGGTACTTCACTTTTTTTGCATTCAAGTTCATTCGAATAATACCGGGTTTTCCCAAATATGATTTGTACATCACCGAGTGTTTGTGTTCGTTCATTACGATCATCATGTTGACCTTGTAAGATGTTTATGGTTGTTGAATCTGTCAACGACATGTAAATCACGTTGGGCGTATCGTAGTATGTATTTATTGTGAAAATGTATGTATGTATGTCATCAGTGAACAAAAACGAGGATTACAATTATTGTCGTACCTTCATAAATATAATCAGAATATGAAATTTTTATATCTCCCGAACAACTTTATTTCCACTTCGGCTTGTTATTTTTCAGATATACTGCATAATTAGTTTTTTGATATCAGCAAGTTACCTGTTTGCAATGAAAGATACAAAGAGAAATGCAGTAGGGATTTTCGTAGGCGAAAATATATCATATGAACCAAATATGAACCATAGCCAATTCTCAACTTTGACGTGACGTGCTCCGCGAATTTGAGTTTATTGTCAATTATCAAACCCAGATTTCCATCGGATGTTCTGAAAGAAATAATCTCATTAGCCATACTAATGTTCAAAGATGCCTGCAATTCTTCTCTGATTCTATCATTACAAAAAAGTATAGCCATGGATTTTTTTTTCAATGATATGATATTTCAAAAAGTTTTTGCAGATCATATTTGAAAGAATATTCTGATAGGTTAAAGGAAAAGTCGTGTCGTCTGCGTATAGATGATACTTGCAACGAGTTGATGACTTTACGAACTGTGCAGTATAAATTGCATGAAATAATGGAACCGAAATACTTCCTTGAGGTACACCAGCGGTGACAATAATCGCCGTCGATGTCTCATTTTTATACACTACTCGCTGTAATCTGTTCTTTAGGCATTATTTTATCAAATCGCAAGCACGCACAGAAAAACCGATATGATTTAGAATTGCCAATATAATTGTATGATTTAACATATCGAACGCTTTTGTGTAGTCTAGGAGTACCAGGATCGTTGGCTTACTTTCCATTCCCCTCAGAACATCATCTGAAACGTCAGTCAATGCAGACTTACAGCTGTAACCTGGCCGAAAACCTGATTGTTTCGCCGGTGAATAATTTATCGAGTTGATAAATGGTACTATTTGAGACTCAATGGCTCTTTCGAGCACTTTTGAAAGAACAGGTAGAATCGAAACTGAACGTAAGTGTGAAAACTCTGACGGTGAACTTATTTTTGGCAGAGGATTGACGAGAGCTTCCTTCCATAACTGTGGAATATAGGAGTTTTGTACACAAGACTTGATTATATACGTTATATGTGGCACAATGAAGGGGCAGCATAGTATTATTAGAGTAAAATTGAGGTTATCACACCTAAATGTTTTAGACTTGATATCTTTCAAAGTTTAAAAAACAAATTTTTCAATCACCTTCAAACTAGTAAACTAGTGCTTGGCTGGCAAGAGTTTTTAAATCAGTCAACAAAGTACAGATTGAGGTCCTCAATGTCCTGTAGTTCGTCTGGTTGCCATTTTTGTTTTTGATTGAGTTTTTTAAATTTACAGTTCAGATATGCCTTTTTTCGGTCCTTACAGCAGCAGTGACAACATTTCTCATAGTTTTGTAATGTTCCCTTTGTTTCACCATTTTTGTTAACCGATAATGATTGAGTGATGCATTCCTTAGTTTTTGCAAAATACGAATATTATCTATAATCCATGGACTATCAATTTTTTTATATAGATTATATATGTCATTGGTATGTGTACATTATACATACTTTTCTCGACGCATGCTATCCAACCTAGTTGTCGCCTGAAGAAGATGAAGAACCCTAACTTCTCATTCTGAAACTGATCTTAAAACTGGTGGCAAAAATATATCGATCAGACTAAGCGAGCTATCGAAACCCGTTTCCATGAACGGATAAGACATAGTGTCGCTCAACACACCTTGGAGAAATAAAATATAATATTTATATTTCTCTATGTGAACCCATTCAAGATTTTTTTGTAAATTTGAATTTTGATAAAAAATACATTTTTTTAATATGTGATAATTGTGGGTCCCGTTCCATATGACGATCAAGTACTCAGCTTTAATATTTTAAAGAATCACCCTCATAGATGAATGTTTCTTTATTAATGATCATATGCTCCATGTTCTGTAGATTGTTAGTGAATGATGGTTTTATCGAGATTTTGAGTTGATTCGTTGTATTTGAACTATCCAAATATTCATTCGGAGTCATCTTCTGTTTTTGATTTTGAGCCTTGCCAAAAATCTGTACTGTAGAGATCACCGCAAGGTCCGCATAGCTGAAAATGATTCCTTCTGAGATCTGCAATAATAATCTCCTGATAGATTTTTTGAATGAGACAAGGACCTAATACCGTTTTTTGTGGGATACCAAGAGTTATAATTTATGAGCCACTTATCACACCATCGATATTCATATCCCGTTTTTGGTTGAACAGATTTGAATTCATCAACTCGTATGATCTATTTCTGTCATCATTTTCTCACAGAGTTTTTATGGTGAACGGTATCAAATAACTTGGAAAAATTCAAAAACAATCACAAAGATGGATCTAAAATATACAATTTAATTCAAATTCGACCCCCACAATTGGGATCTCCTAAACTACACGAGATACGTCGAAATTTTTGCAAACGAAATACCTTCAACGTCAGAAATAATTGTATTTTGTCAGTAAGGGTTATTCGGATGATCACTATCTACAGTAAGTAAGTTATTGAAAATACTTTATATCTTAAATCATATAAAGGAACAATTTGTTCAGGC